TATGCAAATCTTCCCAAACAGTGACGTAGACATGTGGGGGCGTGTTTAAACGAGGCGTTTTAGGAGGGCGTGGACGAGTCTTAACTTTTATAAAGAATATCTCTTTGGGTTTGGGACTTTAGGGATTTTATCTATTCACGAACAGCTTGTAACACTCCAAAGAGAAAGGAAAACTTGAAATCGCATCATATGACCCCTTTAAATTAAATGTGCTAATTAAATTAAATGTGTTAATTAAATGTGTTAATTAAATTAAAACATTAAATGTGTGATCTGCAGCAGCATGACTGGTCTTCAACGAGCCCAAAAGAGCCCATGTTACACCTCTCTTTATCTCCTTGCACTGGCTACCGGTTGCGGCTCGCATCAAGTTCAAGACATTGATGCTTGCATATAGAACAGCCACAGGCTCAGTACCCGCCTACTTCCACTCATTACTATGAATCTACATCCCCTCCAGAAGTCTGAGGTCCGCTAGTGAGCGACGCCTCGTGGTACCATCACAGAGAGGCTCAAAATCACTTTCCAGAACATTCTCGTTCACCATTCCTGGCTGGTGGAATGATCTTCCCACCCCTATCCGGAATGATGAATTCCTGACAATTTTCAAGCGACAGCTGAAAACTCATCTCTTTCAACGCTACTTGACTTCAGCTTAAAAAAAAAAAAAAAACGTTGTCTTTCTCTTTTTTTTTTCCTTCCCTTTCTCGCTTTTACTTTTTGTACTTATTTGAACAATGCCTAAAACTTGGTATTACAAGCACTTCCTGTGTCTGTTTGCCTCTTTAAGAAGAATCACTTTATTGTATTTAACAACAGTCTCGTAAGCAATGCAGGAGTTTTGTAGTTGGATGTAAAAGTGAAGATGAGTCTTCATTTTCTCCCGACATCAGAGCCACTGAGGACACAGTGGATTACTTTTGTTTTTGATGGTAACGCGCCACCAAATACACAAAAAACTGGAGAGAGGGGTGGCTCATTATCATTTAAAGAGACATGCACCGAAATGGGTCACTGTGAACAGAGCTGTTTTTGACAAGGTAAAAAGGGTGTTGTTTCACACGACCATTGAGTAATTTTAACCAAAGTATGTTGCAGACATATATTCATGAAGACCCTAAAGAATCATACCAACTTGTGGAAAATGAGCATCCGATGTCCCCTTTAAATTCGTTTATCATTTACTGAGGTTCCAAACCTGTATGACTTTTTTTCTTCTGTGAAACACTAAAGAAGATATTTTGAAGATGTTTCTGTCAAACACCAGCCAAAAGTTTGGAATAATTAAGACTTTTTTAATGTTTTTGAAATAAGTCTCTTATGCTCACCAAGGCTACATTTATTTTGATCAAAAATCCAGTAAAAAGACTAACATTGAGAAATGATATTACAATTTTAGAGAATTTTTTTATTTTTAAAACATTTTAAAATATAATTTATTTCTAAGACATTACTAAAGTCTTCAGTGTCACATGATCCTTCAGAAATATACTTTGGACCTCACTGACTTTTATTGCATGAAAAAAAAAGCTGATGTTCAATTCAATTCAAATTTATTTGTATAGCACTTTTCACAATACACATTGTGTTAAATGCATGTGTCTACATTACAATTTAGAGTGATCTGTTATCAGAAGTGAATGTGTCCAATAGGTATGGGCCGGTATGAGATTTTGACCGTATGATAACCTTAAGCAAAAATATCACGGTATTGTCGTTACAGCTCTAAAATTTGTTATTTTTAAATTCCTGGGTAAAAAACAAAAAAAAACTTTTTTTTTCTTCTGAACACAATATATTTTGTTTTTGAGAAACATAGAGAATGATATTGAAAACAGTTATGTTTATTATATTGCATTTCTGTCTATAGATCGATGTAAATATTACACATTGCACCTTTAAGTTCGGCCATCCTACACACACGTAACTGACCGCTTGCTCGCACCAACAGGAGGAGGAGGGTCGTGTTACTCTCTACACTGCACTCAACCTGAGGGATTCCTACACTTTCAGTCTTTGAGGAGACATGAAAAACAGTGCATACCGCAGGAACGGTATAACGGAAAATATTAGCGGTTTTGAAACCGTGACATTTTCAAATCGCGGTATACCTTGAAACCAGTAATCGGCCCATGCCTAGTGTCCAAGCAATGTTCATTTCACAAATTAACAGTTCAAGATAATAGAACCATACAGTTAGCTAACATGGCTTAATTTTAGCCAGACTCTCATTAAAGCGATTATTACAAGTATGATCATAATGATTACAATATAGAGAAATTTTGGCAGTTGTGCATGTCATTTCAAGTTGGCTATGTGGGTGAGTAAATATAAGAATTCAATGAGAATTCCAGTTTTTGAGTTAATCTTCTCTTTATTTAGCACACCGTTTCAGAAGAACACAGTTGACATATCTGTACTTGTGTTCCAGGGTTGGGGTGCAGAGTATCATCGACAGGATGTGACAAGCACCCCATGCTGGATTGAGATTCATCTTCACGGGCCCCTGCAGTGGCTGGATAGAGTCCTAACCCAGATGGGCTCTCCTCACAACCCCATTTCCTCCGTGTCCTAGACAGAGCTGACCATAAGGCAACTGCAGATGTCTGGGTTCCTGTGCAGAAGCTGATTGGTTGAAGGGAGCGGTGGTGGGTGGGAGGAGGGTGGGGTTTGTATTCTACTTGAAGGCAGTTTGTTTGTACATTTTAGCTGAAGAGTCCTTAGTTCTCAGCCCATGAGAATCTGGAAGATACTTGACAACTTTGTGTGACCAAGCATGTTAAATTATGAGGCCGTCATACTTGTGACAAGTATCCTCCTTTGGTCTTGTTTGTGAGAGAAGTTGGGTTTTTAAGCCAATTTGTTTGTTTTCTTTCTTTTTCTTTTGCATTTCTTCCACATTTTGCAGTTTACAAATCAGTATTCCATTGGCAAAAAAAGGTCTCCATCGTAGTTTAGAGACTAGTGTTGTACAGAGTAGTGAAGCGTGAACATGTCTGGTAGACAAGAAAGTATGAAAACTCGTGCAGAAATATAATGCTTTAAATTAACTGAACGGCATGAAGCTGTGAGAAGGATAACGAGGTTATTAAGTAAGGAATTATGTACATCCATCCATCCAGTTGTTATCTCAGAATAAACCCCGACAGGGTGATCAGGACTTGTAATCAGCCTGAAGGGGTTTATTCTGAGATAACAACCGGCTGGATGTACATTATCCCGCTTATTACACGGCTACTTGTCTCAAGTAAATTAGACAAGAAATATTGACTTGATTTGAAATATTTTATTAGCTCTTACCCAAAGCTTCCACGAAGAAAAACAGTTCCTAACAAACTGCTTTGAGCCTTTTGAAGTCAGACAATACGGACATTTAAGGCATAATGTACAGTCATATCACTAATTACAATAAAGAGTTGGACACAAAATATTAAAATATTTTATTAGCTCATTTGTAAGTTGACAAATTCAAACTTTTCAGGAAAGAAAAACAGCTCTTCAAAGCGGCTTAAGCAAGACACAAAGTTCAAAAAAAAGAAAAGAAAAGAAAGATGCAGTTTGATTTAATCATTTGTAAAAGATATAATCTCTTATGTGTTATTAATTAGACATATTTATATATATATAATGTTACTTTATTTGTAAGTATTAAATTGCACATTTCCATTTATTGTGAACTGACTCATTGTGAATGCGACGCCGGTGGGGATGTTGAAGTTGATGTTTTTAGTTTGGTCAGCTAAAGCATCTCCTCCTGTGGATTTTTCTTTTGTTGCACCTAAAACACAATTATAAGAATTATTATAAACTATGTTTGCGGTTGAATTTCATGCTAAGGTTAGCCTATAGGCTATACTAAGTGGACACTTACTGCCTGCGATGCTGCTGTCAGGATTTGATGAGAGAATCCTGCTCCATTTCTCTCTGTCTGCGCTGGTCGGAGTCCAATAGCTCTTTAGACTACCCTCACATCTATGTCCTGTCACGGTCATAATCTCTCTGGTTTCCAGTCCGGCACGTGAGAGGAGTTGCACAGACGTGCTTCTCAAACTGTGGTTCGTGTATCGGCGTGAGAGTCCAGCTGCTTTGCTAATTGTGGACATCATCATGGCAAGGTAGTTATGTTCCATTGGCTCCCTAGAGTACCACACTGTTCTTTCATTCAGTAAATCCTGGTTTTGTCGTAGTGGATGGAGATAAAAAGTGTCTGCGTCTGGCGGACAGAGGCTCAGGTATTTTTTGAAACTAGCAACGGGACACTGGGGGTTGTTGGGTTCAGCAAAGATGAAACCCCTGTAATTTTCTTTACATGGATCTTTTGGGTCTTTATGGTTCTTGGTCTCCGCATTATGGGACAGAGTAATGTACTCGGTACCGTTGTCGTCGCATTTTATGATAAACGAGTCCCTTCTTAGTTGTCGGTTTCCTTCTCTGCCTCGTCTTACATCAAACCAAACTTTCCGAATGAGACCAGTGGCTGTGTCTGGTGACCGCACGTCCGAATTTCTTATTAGGTGAGGTCCATGTCTGCTGTTGCGATCGGAGGATGATGCTGACTAATGTCCCTACCAATTTTGCGAATTTGTTTAATGGTAGATTTAAAAACGGCATTGCTTGAGTTAAAGGTAGCACTCTTCAGGATGTCAAACTTTTTAAAATATCTGGCGACACCAGCCCTGATAGCCATATAGCTGGCTACCGAATAAGTCTGGCCTTTTGAATTCTGAACAGATGCATAAAAGAAGCATAGCACCTTATTGAGCTCTTCTGCCTCATACGTATCATAATCTGCCGGTAATTTTTACTCAATTAGCCAATCTTTGAGAAGTTGAATTGCCCATAATGTGGTTCTTTTGGTGTTCGTTTCGTAGCAGTCGTTTTCTATTTTGCCAAGTTCAGATTCAGTATGCTCTTTGTGTCTTGTGGTTGCTTGTTCTTCAGAGTTAAGTTTTTGTTTTTTTTGTTTTAACTGGGGAGTCAGTGGAGTCATCTGATTCTATCCATTGCTGAAAAGATTTCTTTTTACCATATATGTTGAAATTAATGCTGAAGTCTTCCATTGTAACACATGGTGGTTAAGTGTTTTCAGTCACAAGATGGCGCCAGACAGTCAACGATAGCGGAGTGACTCGTTAAGCATATAAGTAGTACCGGTCAAGATAACTGGTAGTACCCGGATGAGCGGTGTGTTATTCAATTTGGCGGTTGTTATCTGGGAATAACATACCGCTGGATGGCGCGACTGACCAATCAGAATCAAGTATTCCACAGAGCCGTGTAATATGCGAAATGTCTCACAGCCGACAAGAAGAAAACATTTTGTAAAAATTGACAAAAATCTCTATTGTAGAATGAAAAATACATATATTTGAACACACAAAACTTTTGAATGGTATAAACATATGGGGAGTTAGGGCATGTTAGTAGTGGGTAGGGATGCATGAGTAAACTCATGCGTATGTTGCACTACTTCTATTGCAGTTGTGTTCGACTGATTTCAAAAATGGGTGTGTAAATGTACTTATTAGTAGAGAAAGTGCTGTGCAGTCTGTTTTTTTGCAAGTGTGGTTTGATCCCCAGGATTGTAAGTCTGACGTCTATGAGAGCAGAGGCAGGCATCGTTTACTTTGTCCGTATATTGTGCACTACACCACTTTGCTGCACGGAAGAACGTCCTCCTTTCTCTGTTTTTTTTTCTTTCTGAAATGCCATGAATAATCTGTTTTCATAAAACACCTTTTAAAAAGCAAGAGAAAGAAATATACATGATGCCTATGCGTTTTCGTCATTTTTTAGAGTAAAATAATTACCTTTTTTGTTGACTTAAGTTCTAAATGGCACTAGTGATATTTTGTAAAAAGTAGTTAATTTTTGATTAACTTGCTCTCAGTTTTTTTTTTTTATTCATAGTGAAATCCCATCCATTATCAAAATGTAAACATTTTTTGTATTTTTTGGAAGAAAATATATAGCGTTGTTCATTCATACAGTATCTGCACTTTCATAAGCGGCTTCTTGTCTCTGTCCCTTTTTTGTGCTGTTCTTGCTTACTTGTACTATCAGAAAGCAGTTTTATTCCATGAATATCAAGTCTCTACTGGAAGATTCAATAAATCGTTTGATTACCACTGTCTTTTTGTCTCTTTATGTTTAGAAAGTTTTAAGGCAAACATCACTTTTGGAAATGTGGTCTATTATTAAATATTGTTAAATGTTGAAATAGTATGGAAATAAAAGTACTCTAGTAATCTAATTAGATGTGTTAAAGGCACAATATGTAATTTTCGCCGCTAGAGGGCGCATATTCAAAATAAATAGACATAAGGCGTAGTTTGATGACGGCGATTGAGTGTGGAATCATGGGAGTTGTGGTCTTCATCCCCACATCCGATGCAGTCCGACGGGACTCTAGCAGAAATCATGTTCATGGATGAGCTAATGATTTATTAACGTAGTAGAATGAAGCATGGCGATTGAGTGTGGAATCATGGGAGTTGTGGTCTTCATCCCCACAGCCGATGCAGTCCGACGGGACTCTAGCAGAAATCATGTTCATGGATGAGCTAATGATTTATTAACGTAGTAGAATGAAGCAGGGTGAGGCTGAAAGCAGCGGAGCTTTTATTATGCCACAGTCGACCGCTTCTGCTCCTTCCAGTCGTGCTTATGTGGGGGGAAAAAGCAGCTCTGTTTTATCATACTAGATACATTTGAAAGTTCTGTTATAATGCTACTGTTTTTTATTCATAGTGAAATCCCATCCATTATCAAAATGTAAAATTAGTTTGTATTTTTTTGAAGAAAATATATAGCGTTGTTCGTTCATACAGTATATGCACTTTCATAAGCGGCTTCTTGTCTCTGTCCCTTTTTTGTGCTGTTCTTGCTTACTTGTACTATCAGAAAGCAGTTTTATTCTGTGGGATAATTAATATGTTAATATTAACATATTAAAGCGTCTTTGGTGTTTCCATGTTTTCTACAAAACAAAACCCCCCGGAAATCGAGGGTGTATGACGTCATTGGCAGGCGACACTATGACACTATAGACTTGCTTATTTCTCTGGATTTAATTTATTTTTTAAACATTTGGGATAATGTAAGTACACAAGTCAGCAAAATATATAACACTGTTCTAGTGGTTTTTGGATATTTTAATAAAAAAATCTTACATACTGTGCCTTTAAGTAGCCTACTGTAGGCCTAGGATTATGATCATTGATGGTAAAACTAAGGTACAGTAGCGTAAATTTACAGGACAAATTAGAAGATTTAATAGCTTTATTACACTGTAAAAAATAAGTGTAATTTTAACTGTAAAATTGTAAAAACGCTACGGAAAAAAACTGTTAATAGGTTAACAGTAAGTTCCCGTACTATATACAGGGAAAAACTGTAAAATATCTAACCTACAGTTTTATACTGTACAGTACAGTTTTATACTGTACAGTTTTTGGCCGTAAATGTGTTTACAGTTTTTCTGTATTTTTTGCAAAATTATTCTGGCAACCACAGCTGCCAACATTTTTTTGTAAAAACTACAGAATTTTTTTTACAGTGTAGAACAAGACAACATCACACTAGTTTCATTCATCCGATCCCTGTCTTGTCTTCTCTTCACTTTATTTGAAATGAAGACCTGTAGCTACAATAAGATGATGACGGTACGATCAAAAGAAAAGAAA